GAGAGGTTCAAGGGTCAAAGAGGCTTTTTTTCTCCTCCACAAGATGGCGCTGTATCTCGAAAGAGATCGCTGTTGTTGACCGGGTGACCGAGAGTGAAAAATATAAGATTCATAAACTCTTGATATTGGACATATAGGTGTTGAGGAGCTTGTCTTGTCTCTTTTTCCTGAACAATTCTCTGAGCCACGTGATTGTCCCGTTATACAGTTTACAGGTGGATCATTTCACTTTTTTTTAAATCACCCTCGGTCACCCAGTGAACAACAGCGCCCTCTATTGAGATACAGCGCCATCTTGCGGAAGTAAACTAAACCTCATAGACTCACGAACATTTCTATCAAGTATCAGCTGGATCCAACTGTTCCTTGAAAAGTTAAAGTTGAAAATTTCATTGAATACTGAGACGGTCGAGCACAGGTAATCACCTCACCTGAGGCGTGATGATCCACCTCTAAGCGCCTTTAATTCACCTCTAAATGGGCATTGCACGACTTAGCCATAGGTGCTGAAAAAAAGCAGGCAAGCATTTCAACGCCTTCTAACTGTCAAATATCGATCGCGTATCGCATGTAATTTTTTTGCTGAATTTATGAAACTGCGTTTCTCCCATAGAAAACGGTAGAGCGTTTTTTAACCACCCTATATTTGTTGACTACTAAATCGTAACTAATTCAATTTTTTCAGCAGAAAATAATCTGTTACCATCCATCACTTGATGCAGTTCTCCCTATGATTCAATTATTGTTTTATCTACATACCAACGCATGCGACCAGATGTTGACAAAAGATGAAGGGTGACGTAAGGAGTCGAGAAATACGAGACACTATATTGGCCTTGCCTGAAACAGCAGCTGGACGCCTTCCCATCATCGTGTTGGCAAAGGAAGATGTGCTGGGACCATACAGCGAAGTATTTGAATTGGCTTTTCTAGCAACAGAACTTGATACATATGTGCGATTATGACTCGTGTCGCCCATCATCATGGTTCCGTTGTATAACCCACGATGTTTCTTATGTGGCATAAAAATAGCCGGAAAAGCACCTGTTACCAACTAGTTACTTTCCAACCCTTTCATTCACTGAATGCACAGTTATACAATGGGATTTCAAGGGACATTCAAGGGAACTACTAAACACCATTGCATCTATTGACTCATTCAATGCATAATCGTTCGCAATTAGATTATTCACCCCGGATATAGTTCACCAGCTGCGGGAGTTTCCAGATACTCACAGTTCCGAGAATTAGAAGCATGGCATCCTGTAATGAGGCTGGTGCTCGAGGTGAGTAAATAAGTTTATCTTCCTCATATTCTGGGAATTTGGGATATTCTAGAAATCTTACCTTTTCTGATCTCATCTCCATCTCAACAATGTATCAATAGTTCCACACTTGTCACAACGCATATACATGTATGTACACTCTTATAAAATTCCGAGCGTTTAGGGAGTAAAAAGTGAGCACTACGTGAGCTATCTCAAATGTACTCTCGTATTACTCACCAAATGCTCTCTCATATTTCGTAATGAAGTGAACATCTTGAAGTTCTTCGCCAGGCCACTAGATGGAGGTAAGGGTCTCGCTTTTCGCACAATACACAAAAGTTCCCTTCCCTTTTTCTCTGAAATCGTCCCTCGCAGGATTATTTTGTACCTCGACATATGTATCGCCTAGTTTCATTATAAGAATCAATAAACACGGACTTTCCATCATTTGTTATCCACATATTCAAGACAGATTCATAGAGCCCAGGCCATAAACAAGCTCATATTCCTGATGAGAACCCTTTTAAAATTCGATAGAGAGGGGAGATTTAGAATATGAAGGGGCGTTCATGAACTCAATCCTATCGCTTCCTCAAGTTGATAAGAGAATGAGGAAATGAAGGACTGATATAGCGGACCTTTCATGGAACCGTAATAGGTGGTTCATCCTCTGACATATACTGTAATCAGTACAGTCAACGGTCGGTCGATGCCTGTACTGTACGAGAGCAAAAGTGACACAAGGTATATTTGAGGATTTGCGTATTTGCATGCCATCCCTATCTCTTTCTGAGGGGAGAGTTTTTACTCATGGAGGAGGAGAGCAATGTTACTCCTTGGTGATGGAGCAAATACACTCCTTTCCCAGGTAAAGGGGAGTGAAACTGGAGTTGGCGATTTTACTCTCTTTTTTGAGAAAAATCGCTCCCCTTTTTCCAAGAGTGTATGCATGTTATACTCAAAATCTTTCTGAGCCAGAAATACTTTTCATTCCAGCTTCACCACGATTGTGTATTGTAGGCAATGGCTGCTGTTGACATGGGCTCGCAGTACGCTGCGTTCAGATTTAGTTTGTACAGCACCTTCATTGATCGCGGACATTTACATCTTGTGGATAGGAATATATACTGTTGATGGACGCTTTCCTGATCGCTTCATTTGATATCTACATGTCCAACACAGTTACCTAATTAGAAATCTCCTTGACTTCCAATGAGGGCAAATTCAGATTTTAGTTAACCTTGACGCTACATCCAACACAATAATAATGACTGTGTCCATAATCTCTCTTGCCTTCTAAGCTATGGATCAACCAGGTTAAGCAATGAGAATTCTGCAAATGGGATTCACAATTACTTTTCTATTCGTTCATGCTTCATATTATTTATATGTACAAAAGTGCGTGTCACCATGCATTTCCTATCGTATTCCTCTTTTATCCGTATTATTAATCTAAAGAAAGTCTACATTTTCACGGAAGAAGGTATACAAGAACTAAAAAAGTATGCCTAAAAGAGAAAGTTAGGAAAGACAGCATGAACTTGCAAGAAGATAAGTATTTAGGAAAGGGAAGGAGAATTCCAGGTACGTCCTAGCCTGAGTCACCGGGGGCAGAGCTGTGAGAGCAATTGAAAATTTTCATATTTTACCAACATATTGTGGACTTTCATCAATATCAGTGCAGACTTTTCCTCTGCCAAAGGCAGAAAATTCATTTATGCCCCAATTTGTTCTGTAGTCTATGGAACTTAATCGAATTTCACCCATGCGTTTTGGATAGGTTTGACTTGAGTTGCCCTAGGGGTAAAGAGCAAATGAGGTGTACCACTATAGACCTGGAAATCAACTGATTAGGGTGATGAAGCGGTGCATCTTGAAAACATCTATCCCAAATTTATCACCAGGGACAGGAATTTCATGCTCTGTAATTCTGCAAAATATAATGCTTTCATGCTGCAAAAAAAAAATATATGTTATAACAGCATGCTCGACATTTTTTTTAATGGGATGGTGGTAAAGTTTTACATATTATGGACACTCTGGTAATACCAATTAACATGGGCAGAATAGCATACCTTCATTTCAATATTAATTGGAGTCACAATCAAGCAGTTGGACCTTAGCAGGGCTCTGAACATTGAAAAATCACTATTGACGGGAATCCATACGAGAAGAATAACGTTTTCGGAGAATTTCATCACAAACAACTTGACTCATTCCCCCAAATAATTGAATTAAGGGGTTGAATTGCACTAAGATCTGGAACCCTCTGTATCAAAGAGTCAAACTTGCCTTAAGTGCTTCTCCCAAGATCCAAGAGTAGGCTTCAGCTTTTCTCTACGCACTTGATCAAATCCATACTATCCATGAGTTCTTCCAATATTTATATGAGGCGAGGTAGAAAGGGAAAGAGTCTTGATAAATTCCCTTTCCCCCAAGATAAGATCAAATGCTGCGAAACCAAGCGATGGGCCGCCACGAATCCGCTTGGCTCTGGCTGTCCGTCAGGCGTTTCTGTTATGAGCGGTTAGAGGAACGCAGCACGTCCGTTGGTTTCTTTCTCAAAGACTTTTTATGTGAGCCTTGGAAACAGGAAGTATGCTCCAAAATTGTGATTTTTGGCATTTCATGCTGTCACTGCCAAAAAATATACAAGCCATGCTGAGTAGAAGAATGGAAATTCTATCTTTCTCGTTGATAGAAATCCCTACACTGAACGAGCATACAAATGGTCAAAAATGAGGGGGAAATGGAGTAGCATGAAAATCTGCACCCTAGATCTGTTCCCTCACAATGCCCATTCATGTTACCAAAAGGCACATAATTCATTAAGGGCGCAATTACTTATTAATTTTCTGATCCTATGGCAACAGATGCTGATGTGATGGCGTAGAATGTCTTGTATTAATGTCCTAATCTAGAAGGCCTTATAACATGAATTTTTTATCAGTGTAAATCAAATCATGAGCGAAAGGGTAAAATTCACTCTAATTATTTCTGGGAGATATTTGTAATTGTAATTGGTTATTTAAAACCGTATCTTGGACAAGCCTGCTCCTTCCCCATCTACACCTGCTTCTCATCAGTCGACTCTTACTTTGCATCTTCTTCCTTATTTATGGATATTTATCGTTAAAACAAACAATGTACCTATTTTCAGGGAGACATGCTACATGAATAAGAGGTGAACTACACGTATTGCCTGAACATTACATGCGTCCCCCTTCCCTCACTTGCTTACCTATCAGAGTGACGATAACAATTTTCTTGGCTGATATGGAAGGAAGACAGTTCACTGCACAAACTAACATGTGAAGACCAAGTGTGAAAGGCATTTCTCTCTGTCTCTTCTAACGCTTTTGAGATCTATTCCCACCAAACAATTTGAAACACGTAACGTTGAATCTACGTTGAATCAACATTGAATCAACGTTGATACAACGTGGGTGTGCTACTGGAGTTTCTTGATATGAGTTGATGAGAGCTAAAACGAACAAACATGAAGTTTACGTTGAAAATATTCTGGTCAGATATAAAGTATCTGACACGACCTGAGAGAGGATCAGATGGTCCTGATATTCGCACTCGGTAGTCACATGAGATTCCACAGTGGGTTGATAAAATCATACGTTTTTAAACTCTCTTCCGTATCTTACAGGAAACTCTTTTTATCACATATTGTACAAATATCACCTTCCTCCCACACAGGAAGTTGCAACACCAGAGACTCACCTCCATTATCGCATTTTTGAGTGGTGAATAGCCCAGGCACTGACACGTCTCGAGATGGATGACATTTTCTTGCCCTTACATGGGCAAGGCATTATCATTTCAATGGTATTCTAACGGTTCATACCAGTACCAGTGATATGGAACTCGGAGTATTAGTGTCAACCCACCAACAGTTTCTAAGAGCACTGTTTTTCAGGAGTTCTAGCTGAGCTTTGTCCTTGATTCGTGTCATTCCATGTCTGCAAGATGACTTGCACGACTTGCATGACTTTCATGACTTTGCTTCTTTTTTATTTTTTATTATAATGATCAATGACTGCTCTGATACCATGCCTCTTGTAATTCCTCCCCCCCCCCCGCCATTTCATAATTACACAAAGCATCAAGAGAGTTCTATGAGTGAGGCTTCAAGACTCTTGAAACCTTTTCTCAAAGAGATCAAGCTTTCAAAAAGCTTGTAGGATTCCTCTCATTTGATACTGCACCAGCAACCCTGATTGGCATACATTGATTTGCTCCTAAGTCCATACATAAGCCGACTGCAATTATTTGATCCTATCAGAATGTGCAAACGGAAATTGGCGATGGCTCCAGAGAGAATTTCACCATGTTATAATCCCACCTGGGTAATGTACTGTAGGGCTGATTAAATTCACTGAGCTTTTAACGGACGCGTCTTTGGACATGAATGTCCTGAAGGGACATGCCCCAGCTGGATATCCCTTTAGGCGTATATCCACCTGCTCCAAAATTCAGCCGGGGGGGGGGGGGGCGACGACATCCACCTGGTTCCATTTCCTATCTACCTTGTAGTTCAGTCAGGTGGATGCAGTTGGATGTTTTGCAAGGCAGGACCAACCAGAAAGTCTCGGACATCAGACGTGCTTTTCAGGAACGTCACAGCGATTACAAAAACAGAAATAGTAACTTGTAGCACAATAGCTATGACAGTTGTTATAGCAGATGTCACACCCGACATGCCGCGGAGAGTGTCCTGAAAAACGTGGTTGTGATCATACAGACAAATTATTTGACCGAAAATGATGTAAGCGATCCTACATTTCGTGTCCCCCAATACATGCTAGCAAAGGCATAGAGAGCAAACCATGGATAGCACTAGCAGGGGCGTCGAATGCAAGCCAAGGGTAGCACTAGCTGAGAGAGCGGAGAGATCTAGATCCGGTTTGCAAGTGTCACTGGATCTCTTAACGCAAGTGCAAAGGCCTCCACCATGCCTTTCAACTCTCACGTCCAGATGGCTGCTCCATGTGTGGTCTGCTCTAAAGTATGCTTCTGCTTTTCCATGAAAGCATGAATAACGGGTGGCAATGTTTCGGTGCTATATATTTACCGTTTCACTGCTACAGTCCTTTTCTTCACACATCCCTGCGAGTGAATTTTTTTGCTTTTGGTGTGCTCTACTTATAAATTTAAAAATACATACAAGTAACGTATATATGTTCCCTCATTAACCATATTATGTAAGTGTATAATTGGACAGATAGATTGACCTGAATGTTTTCAGGTAAGAAGCACATGAAGAAATGCTGCCAGAAGCGGGATACTTCTGCGATTGAGTTAACTCTTTCAGAAGCACTTAAAGGGTTAACACGTTCCATGGCGTTGAAAAATCTCATCCTCGACTTAAACGCCAAATGTAAATTTGCAAGTCAGATGCTTCCCGCAGTGACGCTGCACAAAAACCAAGTTCCATGAAACAACAGCGCCCCTGATGCGCATGAGCACCTCGGCGCTGCTGAAAACTAGTCATTGATGCACATGTACGTCATCAGCAGCGAATGTGTTGAGTAAGTCGTAGGGTTTTGTGGAATTCAGGGGGATTTCGAATCTACCTAGGGGAAGACAGGATTCCGCTAAACCCACGGGTTTAGCGGTATCCTCTCGAAAACCTCCATTATGTCACCTCCCCCTAGGGGGATTCCAAATCACCCGGATTAGCTGCCATTGCTTCCATCATTTTGCTTACCCCTAGGGAGAAAGAGAATTATCAAGACATCCGGGGGAAGTGGAATTTCATTTCAGTCCATGTATAGAAAGAAAAAAATCACCGTCAATATGTTTCGAAGCGGAGTCAATTATACTTGTCTTATTTTGGGAGGTTGCACGGCTTTCCCCCATGACACTTGGATGAGCATGCTATGCCTAGTTTTTTGCAGATGCACCTGTTGGTTCGACAAGACTTCTTGCACTTGCAGATGGATCCTGCACCTCCACTGGGGTAGCTTGTTTCTGCCCTCAAAGCCTTCGCCTTCGTTGACGCAACCACTGTCTTCCAAGCTTCTCTTTCTTCGTTAGTAGCAGGCAGAATCAGGCGGGGCATTCTCGCTGATAGCTAACATGGTATTCTTCAGCCTTAAATAATCCGTCAACGCAAACGAAAGGAGAATTGCCCTCGACTGGACAAGCCTTGGGAAGGGCAATTTTCGAGCAGGGAAATTCCACAAAAACCCTACTACATATACCTTTTTAAATGGAATATATGATGCAGGGTTTCTCTGCCCACAAGTGATTAAATGTGACGTCTGACCTCGCATAAGGCAGATGTGGAGTCTGTCAGCTTATGCACCTCGTGGATTCGAGCGAATTGCTTATGGAAACATCTGCCAGAGCTGTGAACTGCTCTGGGTTTCTCCCATGTCCACGTGCAAGCTGGTCAAGAAATGCCAGACACTAGTAAAAGCTGTGTAACGTGTATATTTTTACAGTAATTAAAATAATTTGTACACCATGGTATTCCACAAACGAAGGAGTTTTAAGGATAGAATATTCATGTCTGGTATATGTCATGTTTAGCTATTAAAAATAATGCCTCGTAAATGTCGACCTGATCCTTGTAAGCACTGGCGCGCACTGATCACTTTGTAGGCGTTTCTTGTGCAACTCCTTCGGTTCTCTTAAGCACAAGATGTTTTGCTTGTTTTCAACCCCTGAGAGCTGAAAATGCGCTTCGTCCGACATGATGAGATTTTCGATAAATCTGTCATCACGCTCACACATCCAAAGAAACGTTACACAAGTTGTGATCCGGTTTTGTTTTGTCAGAAAGTTCCTGGACAACTTGAATTCTGCGACATCATTTGGTGAAACTGCAAGGAGGAGGCAATGAAGCTATGCAACTTGAAAAAAACGCAGTTCAGCGAGAAATGTTATCGCCTGCTTCAACTTCGCGAATTTTGCGAGGCACATTCAAGGGCGAAATTAAATTCCCAGTGAATTTTTTTCCGAATGGTCAAATCAAAAGGGATGGTCCAGTTCGTTAAAATCAAAATTCGCGAAATCATCTATTTAAAAAAAAATGATTTTAGGATTTCACGAAATCAAGTCGGCACCAGAAATCCTTCCTACCTTGTAATGTAAAGTGAGATGCAAGAAGCATGGTATTTAATTAGATGAAACTACACTCGTGGTTGCCTTCAGCAGTAGAAATTCTCTCAAATGAAAGTTTAAGAGGCGTAAAGTAGATTCACAAAAGTTCTCTGGTTTAGAGATAGTGTTTTTAATACCCACGAAATCAATGGGACTTACTGTGACAGCGAGTAGCGACGACCAATCATTTCTTCGAATTATCAGTCACTTCCTCCATGTTCGCTTTTAGTGCTGCCAACAATAGCAGATCACCCAGTTTCTCATACCCACAACAAGACCGTAAGTAATCTTCTACTCTTTTCCGAGTGCCTCTCAGCAGTTGTCAAAGGCAGAGTTAAAACGAGGTCAATTAACTTCAAGATCTCAGCATACGCAACTGGAAATTTCAAGAGCGCATATCTGAGTTCATGATTTAGCAAAACAAAAAACAGGAACCGTTAAGGTCATGCCGCATGAGAGCTCTAAAGGCGGACATTCAGGCAATTACAGGGAATAAAGGAGGGTATTAAAAATCGCTTTAAAAAAAATCGCTATTAAAAAAAAAAGGCGCAAAGGGGGCTGTTGCCCCCCCCCCTCCCCCCCCCTTTGCCTCTCCGAAATGACGTCCCTGCTTGAATCTTGTACGGGAACGTGTAAATCACAAAAAATTTTCAAAGTGTTTTGGAGAGATATCCTGCATGTGTTCAGTGCCTGTGAGAGTTTTAGTGTCTCAGGACACCGACTTTTCAAAAATCCCTTCACGCACCAACGCAACATTTGCAGGAGTACGAACAATTCCGGGTCGTGCTGGGGAGACCAAGAAATAGACAAAGTTCCCGCGAAAAATTAAGCCGGAACATAAGAAATTAAGCCAATATTCCCATGGACACGATTCACACAGTGGTGCGGTGACCCGTGCAAGCCAGCGCAAACAGGCGGACATTTACGTGGCACAATAGCTAAACAAGACATCAATCAGGCATGAACATTCTTTCCTTAAAACTCTTTAGTTTTTTTGTATACTGTGACCAGACCACACCCGCGTCCCGCGGGATCCGCTTCGCGGGTAATAAAATCTCAACAGGCATAATACACTCTGGGTTAATTTTTAAATAGCAATGAGAGAAAATACAATTAGTAAAGGGATAACGTTCGAATTTCAAAGTGCCACGCTTTGATCAATAATAGGAGATGCGTTACGTCATCAGGGAACCTTCAACTGGATGAATGAAAATTCTCAGCGAGTTCCGCCTCGTAGCCTTCAAGTGAGACACGTAGTTGAAATTTCGAAAATCCTGGCATCGGATAAGGTATGATATTGAGGGATGTGGATGAACTCTATTGAACCGACCCGACGCGGATCGGACAGGCAGCTCGGTTCGCAATCAAGATTCTGGTTTGGTACAGGTGAGTACGCTTTAAGGGGTTCTTTTTCTCCTGCCGCTTACAGGTGCTAACGGAACGTAATGACCTATGAGAGCACTGAACAGGTCAGCACGAATGTGACGTCATGGGATAGCTGGAATCGTCAGCAGAGCCAGCAGAACCGCCTAGAAAAAGAACAAACTCAGAGACCCCGATCTCTGAAGCTTTGAGGCCTAAGCTAGCTGCGGGCTGGCCCTATCGGGTCGGGTAGGACCACGATTCGAATCGGAGCGATCAGGTCGAATTGTTTTTCAATTCGACTTGATCGCTCCGATTCAAACGGGTCGACTTTTTCAGCACACGCCATTTCATGCTTGCCTATCCTACGACCCACACTTCTTCACATTAGAATTACTACTTCTTTTCTCATCTTTCGCAGATAAAATATGCACCAACGCAATCTACTCACCAAGAG